AATTTTGTTAAAAGTTAAAACAGAAGTAGATGGTTGACATATTGTCTGTTATGTTGTTCCTTCCCAAAGGTGATAAATCGTTTCTCATCAATGTTGGATATACTATACTAATTGGGTTTTTAGATGCTTGCATTTTGGGCATATTTTAACTTTACTGTTAAGCTACTGAAGTTACTGTAATTTGTTGGAGAACTTGAAGACAATAACTTGTAGATTATATTCATACAATTTTAAGATTCTGTTTTGGTCTAATAGAATGGTTTCTCAACGATGGATTGGGAACTGTAAATTTATGGTGATTTTTAAATGCCTAAGCCAGGTTGATTTGACTTGCTGTAAAAATTTGATGTCTGATTATCCAAGTTATCTGGTAAGAAAATAGGTATGCGCAGTGGTATGTGTTTAATGTGTGTGAACTTGTGAATGTGATGATCTTACAGGAGCTGCTTGCCCAAGAGAAGGCACAATCATCAGCTTCGGCCAATGAGGAGGTTGACCTGGATGAGCTGATGGATGTAAGTCTTATGAAGCTTTTTGTATTTAATGATGGAGCATCTTTCGTCCATTCCACTTTACTCTTCTTTTCTATAGGCTCATGTGCTTCTTGTATCCAGGATCCTGAGCTGGAAAAATTGCATGCAGATAGGATTGCTGCTCTCAAGGTTACAAATTTAATGGCATTTCTGAATTCGAATTGATGCAAAGTGGTCTATAGATCTGGGCATTATTTGTTCTGAAGTTCGTAATGACACTAAGATTTATTTGAATAGAAAGAAGCTGAGAAGCGAGATGCGATGAAGTGGCAAGGGCATGAAGAGTACAGGGAGATTTCTTGGGTAAAGTCACTGGAAGTGAGAAAGTGATTTGCCACTTCTACCATAAGGAATTCTATCGATGCAAGTAATTTTTTTTTTACTTTTCTCTGTCTACAATGCATGCACATATACTTTAATTGACATACAGTTTGGATACACATACTGTGCATGCACAATCATGAATGTGCGAGACTTAATTGTGTATTATGCATGGACATCCAGGATAATGGATAAGCATTTAAAAGCCCTTGCACCAAAGCATCTGGATACAAAGTTCATCAAACTGGACGCTGAGGTGAACATCAACAAGCTTACTATAATTCTAAAGCTTGGTATAGTATTTCATTCCATTTGTGGTATTGGTTTCATTGTGAACTTAAGATTCTGAATTTTTTTGGCAGAATGCTCCCTTCTTTGTTACCAAACTTGCAGTCAAAACTTTGCCTTGTGTTATAATTTTCAGGTCAGCCATTGCTTAGTTTCTTTTTCCTTGGCAGAAATATCGATAAGTTTTGGCATCAAGTGTTAAAGTTAGAAAACAATTCTCTCTTTTTTATCATAGCTGTCTGACCTGAATATTTGCAATGTTTGGTCAGGAAAGGGGTTTCTTTAGATAGGTTGGTTGGGTTTCAAGATCTTGGGGGGAAACATGATTTTGCTACATGGACACTTGAGGTTTTTCTGATAAAGAAAGGTAATGACTTTGCCTAGAACAAACATGCAATTTATAGCATTTAGCAGAGCTGAAAATCAGGTATCATTTTACAGGTATTATTAGTGAGAAGAAAAATGAAGATGAGGATGACATTTATGACGAGAGTAGGCACAAATCAGTGAGATCTTCTGTGAATCATTATTCTGATTCCGACTGAAAAAGAAAAGGGAAACGAAAAAATTTACCGTCTTCTATCAGGTTCCTTATCCGAAGAAGTGCAGTTTGAATTCTCAAATCAATAGCAACATGTTCATGGTGGATGCTAAGAACTATTAATTATGGGCGCCAGCCTTCATAGCGTGATTCATAGCGTGACTCTATGTGACATTTCTTTAGTTATGTATGATTGTACTATTTGCCTGGTTATGTATCAAGTCATACATCTTTGTTGACGTTCAATTGCTGTTGTAATTTGCTGCAAGTTTTTAGCATTTCATATTTATGAATGATTTGCTTAGGAGGCAATTTGATTGAACTTGGATCTAGCTCATAAATTTGCTGTATTCTATTGCCAGATGAGGTGACAACCTTCTCAATTATTTTTCTGTTTCTTTCCTTCTTCCTGCAGACCACCTACCTTCTCTGAAATATTGTTGATTATGCATTCAAATGGGGGAAGTTTTATGCTAAGTTGATTATTCCCTAATAAGGATTTTATAAATGGAGGTTGACAACTAATACATGAGCTAGCCAAAGCTCTATGTCTATAAACCAGACCTTGAACCTAAGCCATAAACCTGTAGTTTATAAATCTTCATAATCGCAAAGGCCAAAATTACTAATGTACAAGTACAACCTTAAGTTCTCAATGGGGAGATGTCTAAATTCCACTACTGCAACTGTTAACGAAATATGATGCTAATGACTGGTGCACAATGCATAGTCCTCTACTTCTGAGGTCACACTTTTGCTATTCTTTTCCTTCTTCCTCTCTTGAACCCTGCAGCCAATAAGAGAGAAGACACTTGTAATTTTCTCTCGCCAATAATGGATTCTCCTATTAATGATGGTTAATATCAAGTTCTAAAATCATTTCACTTGCAACTGTTTGGTTTATTGAGATAGCTAAGGAATTTGTACCCCTTGCTTTGTCCCATAAAGCTTGGTTTGTGATGACTGCATAAATGACACGCTCAGTGTCTGCAAAGGGAATTGAAGAAGAAAACTTGTTCAAGATCCCAAACCAAAGAGAGTTATTCAGTTAGCATCACCGTGTTCGTTTCGTTAGGCAAGGGTCTTTTCTGTGTTCGTTTCATTCCGTTACGAATGAAATGCAGCTTATACCATATGTTAACGTAATGATTTCTATTTGGTTAGCTTCTACGAGGGCTGAAGTACCTGCACTCAGCAAACATCCTTCATCAAGACTTAAAGCCAGGGAACCTTCTCATCAATGCTAATTGTGATCTGAAAATGTGATTTCGGGCTGGCCCGAACCAGCATAGGCAATGAACAATTCATGACAGAGTACGTTGTCACCCGGTGGTACCGTTCACCCGAGCTCTTACTGTGTTGTGACAATTATGGGACCTCCATTGATGTTTGGTCTATAGGATGCATCTTCGCTGAGATTCTTGGCCGGCAACCTATCTTTCCGGAACAGAATGCCTCAACCAGCTTAAGCTAATTATTGATGTCCTTGGTAGTCGCAAGAGGCTGATCTTGAGTTTATAGATTATCCCAAAGCCAGAAGATACATCAAGTCACTTCCTTACACTAGGGGCATCCATTTTTCGCGTTTATATCCTCGAGCTGATCCATCAGCCATAGATTTGTTGCAAAAGATGCTAATTTTTTATCCATCTAAGAGAATCACTTCACATAAGCTCTCCAACATCCTTACATGTCTGCGCTATACGATCCAAGCTGCAATCCGCCGGCCCAAGTCCCAATTAATCTCAACATTGATGAAAAAAACATGGGAGAACAGATGATTAGGGAAATGATGTTGAGTGAGATGCTTCACTACCACCCTGAGGCTGCATCAACGAATGGTTACATGAAATTGTATTAGATTTGCTTGGTTCGGATGCTTTGCCATGATCTGCTTTCGACATAGACATTGTTATCGGGAATTCTCCTTTGGACCTCACCATTTTTGCCAAGATTTTGTCTTAACAGCTTGTTTATTAGTTCGGCTTCATCGTTGTGTAACTTGTAAATATTTTAGTATTGTTTTTAATCTAGAGCTCTTCTCCATTTTTCATGCTTTTGCTTGCATTAGTATTACATTTTCCATGCAATTAGGCTTTAATCAAGGTTAAACAAGCTTTGACCCTGGTTAAGGTTCCTTCAAGATATCATCTGCGGCACCATTTTACTTTAAAAAGGTGAATGAACAATGTGTGCAATTTGCAGCAAACAACTAGGAATCTTCCATGGCATATGCATGTGCTTAAAAAGGCTTATAATTATTTATTATTTTCCCTCTGGAAAATCAAAGACAAATTTGGTCAGTCCATAGACCAAAACCAACTAGCCAACAATTTTCAGACATTGTTAAAAGAAACCAACTAGTTCTCGTGCATGGATGTCTGGATACCGTCGGATTTTAAAATAAATAAATAAAGCTAATTGAGAGATGAGTCGTAGAAACTTCAAACCTCTCACTGTTTAGGGAATTTTACATTAATTTAATACTGTCAAATTAAACAAAAAGGATCTGTTTAGCGGAATTATATATATAAAATTGTTCGAAGAGACAACTCCTGGAGATTTACAAGAGCCACAGCCCACATGCATTAAACCAAACCAGGGACCAATCTACAGAAATCTGACATGAATACATGTGATTTGTACGGCTTATATATATCACCGTATATTCCGTGAAGAATAGTGGCCTTTTTCCCATGAAAAAGCATTATTGGTTTATTTTACCATTTTTTTCTTGAATGAAACTAAGCTTGGTTAGAAAACAGAACATACAATCATGAAATGAAGATTTACTGCAATCTGCCAGGCTAGCAAGAAAAGGACTGTCTGAAGCCGACAAACGTACAAACTAACCCAACATTACATTGTTGCAGCAGATAGAAATAGACGTATGAACTTTTACCCGAATCAAATTCTAAATTTGGTTTAATAGTAAAAAATTAACAATTCGAATTCAATGTCTAGTAACAGTTAACTGTTTTTACAGTGGATACCTAACTATTACACCTACTGCAAGCTTGCCAACATCAATTTTGCAACTTCAAGCTTCTTTTTACAGAGACCATGATTTCAACTTTTAATTTTTTTTGATCTGTTTCCGAATTCCAATGGGCATGTGGCCATTTCCTGTCTATAAAGTTCACAATGAAAATCTTTCGTCAACCTCTTTACTTTCTCACCTTGATATTTCCTTTAGTTTTTAACAAGATAGTTTCTCTACATCTCTCTTCCATTTTTGGTTCTTTCATCAATTGCTAAAGGCAAATTCATCTTCTTCTTCTTTTTTTGAATGCTTGTAAACATATTGTTCCTGATGTTTGAGACTAATGTCTCCTGTAATCAGTGAAATCCTCCTTTCTGGTTTTATGATCAACTCTACACTTAGGCGCAGGACCCATCTTGTTCAATCTTTCTCTGTTGTTTTCCTTTACTGGTTCTACGTGTTTTCATGAACTATCAATCTCTTTGTGATTGAAACCCCATAACCAGCCCTTGTTTTCTTTAGCTTTTCTCTCCCATATCTGAGTTTTTTTCTCAATAATAAAATTTCTGGGTCCCGAAGCCAGTTATTGTTTCTTTTGTTTTTGTGATATTTGTTGTTGTTATGGCTAGTTCAAGCACTGGAGCATCCTCAGCTTCAAGCACTCTGGGAAGTTCGAGCTCATCGGAGGATTTTCAGCAGATTTTGGATGAAAGAAAGCGCAAGAGAATGGTATCCAACAGGGAATCTGCACGTCGGTCACGGATGCGTAAACAGAATCACCTGGATGAACTGATGGGCCAAGCTTCTGAGCTCACCAAGCACAATAACCAGATCCTGATAAGCATCGATGTCACCTCCCAACTTTACATGAAGGTTGAGGCTGAGAACTCCGTTCTTAGAGCTCAGATGAGTGAGCTCACAACCAGGTTGCACTCTCTCAATGAAATAATTGATTTCATAAACTCGAGCAATGGGGATCTTGAAAGTGACAACTTTGAGCGGCCTGCCTATTATCATCCTCATCACCAGTTCAATGATGATGCTTTCATGAATCAATGGAATTCATTCGCTGTTAAGCAACCATTCATTGCTTCTGCTGATATGATTATGTATTGATTAATCAGTTGTTTGTTGTATACCGTAGCTTTCTTGTTGCTATTAATGTTACCCTTGTATCTTTTACTGGTGTTTTCAGATGCCCAGAGTTTTATTTTCTCCTCTACTCTTGTTTTACATCAATTATTTATGTTGTAATTAGGAACTTAAATTGCAATGCAGCTGCATTTTCAGGCATACTGCGTTTATTTGCTATTATGAATATAATACACATGAGAAATCAATAAAAATGAATATAAAATAACGACGAGAAAGATTGAAATCGAAATGTGATGTAAGGCTCTTCTTATGCCTTAACAAATTGATTGTGGATCTATGAAGGAAGCAAAACAACCTGCAAAGTGAATGGCTCAAAACAGAATGGTTAAGGGTGGTAAACGTATGGGTAATTAGGTGGGCTGTTTAATTGAGAGATAGAAGCGGAAGATGGTTGATATGGCTATGGTTATGGTTTATGAAACAAAGGGATGGTTGTGAGGATAATATCTTAAAGAAGACTCAAAGAAGAACCAATGCTATATAGAGCAAAGACCCAGACTTTATATTGCTTCTTTAAGGGGTGGTATGAAGTACTTTGACCCACTAGTTATAGAGAACTAGGAACCATAAGTATCAAGGTGAAAGAGAAGGGGTTGACGCCACAAGTATAAATTATACTTGATAAGTCGATAAAAGTCACCAGGACTTAAGGAAGAGAATAATCTCACTTTAATTAAACAAAAAAAGGTCTGATTACAAATGATGAATGCTTTCCTATTTATAGGAAATGGAGAGACATGGCCGAATAATTACAAGGAGATTCAGCTAGCCTTGTGCCTTCCTATAGAGACATAATTTAATGCTAAATAGAGGTGACAGTTCAGTTTAAATGGAGGGTAATAACCCTTGGCCGAATAGTTCTTGTGTCACTTCATGTTGGCGCCAATTTGGATGGTAGTTGATGCTTGGCCTAATAGGGAGAGAACTCTTCATCTTGGCGCCTAAATGAACCACATGCAAGGCACATAGGGCCTGATCACATGCAAAACACATGGCTTGGCTGAATAGGGAGAGAACTCTTCATCTTGGCGCCTAAATGATCCACATGCAAGGCACATGGGGGCTGGTCATATGCAAGGCACATGGGTGTTCTAGGAAACCTTGTGGTACAACCTTGTGCATGGAATGATGGCTGGTCATGTGCTCTCTCTTGGGCGTGCATGTGTCTCCTTCAAGCTAGCTTGAGTTGTGGAGCTAGCTAGCAAACATGGGTTGTTTGTGAACAAGCTTCCTAGCTAAGTCCTTGTGAGTTCCTTAACATTATGTTCAGCTACATTCAACTACCTTTGACATCACTTTTGACAACTCAACTCCAAATAGTCCAACTAGCTAAGTTTAGCTAGCCTTAAGCTCCTCCAGCTGAATCGAGCTTCCCTTAGTGTTCCATGAGCTGCCTTGTACTTTGTAAGCTGTTTGTGAGCTGCATATGACGTCCAAATCATTCACCAAGCTACCTCAACGTGCATCATGCTCCAATGTACCTACATGTGCAAGGAAACAAGGTAATTCCATGGTATTGAGCTGATATGAGCTAAATACCTTGCTTCCATGTTTGTTTATGGTAATGTGAGCTAAGTTTGAAGGTCATGAGCTAATTATATCATCTAAAAGTATGTGTAAGATAATGCATGAAGCTTAAGAGCTAATATGAATGTATATGAACTAATGAAATGATTTATAATGATGCTGCCTTGATGTATATATGATAATCATGCTTAATATGATTATAAGACTATCCTAATATGCTTATAACATTGTGTATCAATCATAAAGATAGGGTATATATTGTATGCATGAATATCATATAACATGGTATTCATAAATGATAAATGGAAACATGTAATAATAATATCCTAAGAAATGATATGTAATCATAGCATATATTTGAATAATATGAAAAACATGATCAAATAAGCATAGGATGAAAATAATAGTATGATAATTTATACTAATATGTGAATGCATGCTTATGATAGAATAGAATGTATAAATGATATAGTATAAGATAGGGTAACGAAGAACTCCCTTAGAAACAGCTTTGAAGAACATCCATGGTGTGTTCAAGTCATGGAGAAAGTTGGAGCTTGTTTGGATCGTATCATCATCCCATTCTTTTAGGCGATTTGTCCTCAAATCAAAGTAGTTTCTCATTGAAGACCTTCTTGATGTAGGAAGGATTGAATCCTTATGTTTTCCTCCAATATATGATTCATACAAAATGTTCAACCTCTTGGCTTCAAATCTGGTAACTTCACGTCCTTTGATGGGAGGACACAATGTTTGGGAACCATCACATGTCCTTTGAATAGAAAAGACATATCCCTTCACGAAACAACTTGATCCTTTTACTTTATTCTTTGAACCATCACAATGCTTGGAAAGGACCTCTATCTCTTCAATTCCTCCTTTTAATTCACCATGATTGTTGGTGAAAAGGTTTGTCTCTTGATTGGAGTCACCATGTCGCTTGGTGAAAATAATTGTTCTTTGAATGACTCCTTTCGCCTTTGTGCCTCTCCGAATGATTGCCTTTAAGGTTGATAGTATTTCACCATAAGGATGAAACAAGTTGCTGTAAAATAAATCAAAGTTAGTAAATGAAAAACTATTAACAAGGTGAATGGAAATAACAAACCAATGTGAATGTTTAATGGGCATTGGTTGTTTGATGATGGAAAACTCCATTGGTTGCTGAAATCTCTTCAATAGTTGTAATGTACTTGGAGCCTCAATGATCACAACTTGTGGCACTTCAAGTGACACATCTTTTTGAACTTCTAGAGACATAATTATTGGAACCTCAAAGAACATATCTTGTGGATCACCACAAGTCACATCTATTGATTCTTCAAAAGACATGTTTCTTAAATCTCCAGCTTGAAAAAATATGTCTCTTGGAATATCCTGCAAGGAAAAAGAAATAATAGAAGAAGATTTGTTAGGTAAAATTTGTCCTTCACTCTGCTTCTCTTCTCTACACTCATCCTTTTCAAATATGTCATTTTCAATTTGCTCCACTACTTGCAAATCATCATTTTCAACTTCAACAGATTCATTTCCAATTCTTCTTGTCTCCTCAAAATATTCTTCTCCAATGGTATTTTCTTTGATTTGCTCATTTCTCCTCATATCTTCAATACTTTTCTTCATGGCCTTCATTTTTTCCCATTCTTCTATTCGTGACTTAAGGGTCACTTGGCATTCAAGGACTTGGCTTGGAAGCATCGGTGCTAATATGATTTTCTTCCCTTGGTGTTGGAATGAATACTTATTAGAAAATCCGTCATGGGTAGCCTTCTTATCATATTGCCAATGACGCCCGAGTATAAGGTGGCTTGCACTCATGGGCACCACATCACAAAGGACTTCATCATTGTATCTTCCAATTGAGAAAGGTACAACAACTTGTTTGGTTACCTTGGCTTCACCCACATCATTGAGCCATTGAAGTTTGTAAGGATGAGGATGCTTAGAAGTCTTGAGACCCAATTTTTTCACCATGTGAGTACTTGCTACGTTTGTACAACTTCCTCCATCAATGATCACCACGCAAATTTTATCTTCCACGTGACATTTGGTATGGAAGATGTTCTCTCTTTGTTCATCCTCTTGACTTTGAATGTTCAAAGTCCTTTTAACTACAAAGATGTTGGATGGAAGAGACATGTTAGCAAATAAGGAAAAACGAAATGTGTGTAGGACCTTACCAGAATGTACTCTCACAAAGCCTCACGAGTCACTCCAAGGAAACTTGAATGTCACTCAATCCACTCGTGTTTGCACTCTAGGACTTTAATGGCTTTTACTTGTCCTCTTCTGATCTCACACACTCTCCAGCCTTTTTCCTCTCGATTCTCTTGTCTCAAGTTCTAGAGAACTTTACTCAAGAATATATCAAGTAAATTTTACTTGTTTGGCGTTAGCTGCAAAAGGGTTAGTAGGAAGGGAAAAACAAATATAATGAAAGGGTGGCTTAGAAATAGAAAGAAGAGAAACAAAAGCTTACACAAGTCACTTCACAACCTTCTATCACCACAATCAATTTAAACGACTTACTTGAATTGCTTGGTGATGATAATTGTTGATGAGTGCTTCAACTTCTTTCTTTTCTTTTCTTTGTTTTTCTTCTTTTTGAGTGCTGGATTTTCTTTCTTTCTTTTGGAGTGCTTCAATTTCTTTTCTGATTTTCTTTTTCTTTGACTTTGCACTTTACTTGCACTTCTTTTTGTATTTTCCTTTTTGTTGTTGTTGCACGTTGCTTTCTTCCACCAAAGCTCTGATTAACGCATGATGTAAGGCTCTTCTGATGCCTTAACAAATTGATTGTGGATCTAGGAAGGAAGCAAAACAACCTGCAAAGTGAATGGCTCAAAACAGAATGGTTAAGGGTGGTAAACGTATGGGTAATTAGGTGGACTGTTTAATTGAGAGATGGAAGCGGAAGATGGTTGATATGGCTATGGTTATGGTTTATGAAACAAAGGGATGGTTGTGATGATAGTATCTTAAAGAAGACTCAAAGAAGAACCAATGCTATATAGAGCAAAGACCTAGACTTTATATTGCTTCTTTAAGGGGTGGTATGAAGTACTTTGACCCACTAGTTATAGAGAACTAGGAACCATAAGTATCAAGGTGAAAGAGAAGGGGTTGACGCCATAAGTATAAATTATACTTGATAAGTCGATAAAAGTCACCAGGACCTAAGGAAGAGAATAATCTCACTTTAATTAAACAAAAAAAGATCTGATTACAAATGATGAATGATTTCCTATTTATAGGAAATGGAAAGACATGGCCGAATAATTACAAGGAGATTCGGCCAGCCTTGTGCCTTCTTATAGAGACATAATTTAATGCTAAATAGAGATGACGGTTCAGTTTAAATGGAGGGTAATAACCCTTGGCCGAATAGTTCTTGTATCACTTCATGTTGGCGCCAATTTGGATGGTAGTTGATGCTTGGCCGAATAGGGAGAGAACTCTTTATCTTGGCACCTAAATGAACCACATGCAAGGCACATAGGGGCTGATCACATGCAAAACACATGGCTTGGCTGAATAGGGAGAGAACTCTTCATCTTGGTGCCTAAATGATCCACATGCAAGGCACATGGGGGCTGGTCATATGCAAGGCACATGGGTGTTCTAGGAAGCCTTGTGGTGCAACCTTGTGCATAGAATGATGGCTGGTCATGTGCATGGAATGATGGCTGGTCATGTGCTCTCTCTTGGGCGTGCATGTGTCTTCTTCAAGCTAGCTTGAGTTGTGGAGCTAGCTAGCAAACATGGGTTGTTTGTGAACAAGCTTCCTAGCTAAGTCCTTGTGAGTTCCTTAACATTATGTTCAGCTACATTCAACTACCTTTGACATCACTTTTGGCAACTCAACTCCAAATAGTCCAACTAGCTAAGTTTAGCTAGCCTTAAGCTCCTCCAGCTGAATCGAGCTTCCCTTAGTGTTCCATGAGCTGCCTTGTACTTTGTAAGCTGTTTGTGAGCTGCATACGACGTCCAAATTATTCACCAAGCTACCTCAACATGCATCATGCTCCAATGTACCTACATGTGCAAGGAAACAAGGTAATTCCATGGTATTGAGCTGATATGAGCTAAATACCTTGCTGCTATGTTTGTTTATGGTAATGTGAGCTAAGTTTGAAGGTCATGAGCTAATTATATCACCTCAAAGTATGTGTAAGATAATGCATGAAGCTTAAGAGCTAATGTGAATGCATATGAACTAATGAAATGATTTATAATGATGTTGCCTTGATGTATATATGATAATCATGCTTAATATGATTATAAGACTATCCTAATATGGTTATAACATTGTGTATCAATCATAAAGATAGGGTATATGTTGTATGCATGAATATCATATAACATGGTATTCATAAATGATAAATGGAAACATGTAATAATAATAACCTAAGAAATGATATGTAATCATAGCATATATTTGAATAATATGAAAAACATGATCAAATAAGCATAGGATGGAAATAATAGTATGATAATTTATACTAACATGTGAATGCATGCTTATGATAGAATAGAATGTATAAATGATATAGTATAAGATAGGGTAATGAAGAAATCCCTTAGAAACAGCTTTGAAGAACATCCATGGTGTGTTCAAGTCATGGAGAAAGTTGGAGCTTGTTTGGATCGTATCAAAAAGCATAAGAGGTTTCACAACATTAATGGTATTGCGTTGTAAATAATGGCTGTTGAATGCCTCCACTTACTGTCACAATTTTATTTCGAGAACTAAATTAAAATTTTAATTAAATTCGAAGATCATAGTAAAACTTTTGATTAAATTTAATCCAAATTATAAAACAACAAAAATTGAAGGATCTATAGCATAATTATACTATTTTTCAAATGTGGGTTTAAAAGCCCAAAAATAATAAACATTTCTGAAAAGTTTAAACCCATCTCATCTCTCTCTCTCTTCAACCTTTTCTGTCTTAGAAATAAATCTTTAATCTACGTTTCGTTGTCGACCGTTGTTCCATTTTTGACACATCTCGCACCATCGTGTTCCTTGTCTTGTCCCAAGTTCACCGATGTCCATCTTATCTCCGTTGTCATCGGCGTGTGAGGGGATGAGGAAAATCAAATTTTCGACATTGCGAAATTGAGCTCTCCGCCGTTCACCCTTGTGAATCGATTTTGGTAAGTATCTCAAAACACCTTAAAATGCATATAGGATTTTTTCATAATTTTTCCGACCCCCGAAGTCCCTGCACGCGCCATCACTGCTCGTGGGAAAGGTCCACCGCCTAGTAGGTTTCTAGAAGTTGCCCGACTCGAACCGTCTACCCGATCCGACCCGCATGCCTGATCCGACCTACCAGTCCGACCTGACTCGGTCCAACCCGAACCGAACCTGTCAGCCGTTAACCTTTGACCAACCGTTAACCGCACATTGACTTTTTTCGAAAACCTCCATTTTGACGTTTTCAACGTCATGAGTCTGATTTTACGATCCGTTTTACCAAATTTTAACCCAAAAGTCATGAATTGAGCCCGTTAATATGAAAATGCTTATTATTTTTTATTATTTTTATTTATTTATTTGAGATTTGATTATGAAATTGATTCAAGTATATATTTTTATAAAGATACTAGTGTTTCCCCCCGACAGAAGGTCGATTAGATCCGGTGTTTCCCATTCGTCAGATCCGCTCGATCTGCGTTCTTTGAGAGTTACTCGTAGGTTTATGTAAATTGTTTAATTAGAAGTTATTATTATTCATATTAATATTCTAATATAGATTCTCCGATTCGTAGGATCTAGCTCTGCCACTGATTGTGATCGGCAAACTCGGTAGTAGGCTTCCTTATCAGACTACTCAGATCGGTACATGTTTGTTTCTTGATGGTGTTACATTATTGTTTTAAACTATTTATCTTAATTGTTTTAGATTTCTGATGATACAAAATATTTTTTATGACATGATACATGATTTTCTTAATATTGTTTATTTGATATCTGATTTACTGTATATTTCTGATATGATATATGGTTAATGTATTTCTGTATATAATTTTTGAGTATGAAATATTTTCATGTTTTAATGGATTAAACTACCATTTTCACCCGAATAAATACATGTTTATTACTGTCATTGGGTGTATTATTGGAGGAATTATATCATGCCTAGTCTATGACGTGTAAGACCTTACCGCAGACTCCTCTGCTTTGTGCACAGGGTAAATCCTTACCGCAAGTTCTTATGCTATATGTATAACCCTTACCGGGTGTACGGGTAGGTGTATGGTTCTAGAGAACCTTCACATTCTGGTGATCTGATGGGGGTAGTGTTCATATTTTTAAAACATGTTTGATGAACTGTTTTTTTAGTGAAGTATTTTATATGTATGTTTTTATACACCGTAAGGAGAATACTGGGCTATTTAGCTCATTCTATAAATTTTAACCTTTTCAGATAGCAGCAGACTGTAGACTAGCAAACTTGATATCAGGAGGACCGACTACTCCTATTTTGAACCATTGTATATCTCTATATTCATTTTAGTTATACTTTGGTGATAAGTTTTTTTTTGCTACTATCTTGGTATATTTGTATTACTAATATTTTTTCTGTATATGTTTATATTGTTTTCTGATATATATATATATATATATATATATATATATGTGTGTGTGTTTATCGTATGAATCTTTCTTATAACTAATTTCATATTATACTATTACATGAATTTTAACGTCTTTTAAGAATAAAAAGAGCTTCTGAACACGATATGTAACCGTCTAGATTTGGTCACAACGTCCCGACCAGGTCTATAGGATTACATATTTCCGGCTGTTTGAGCTTATACAATGGTATAGGAGACATAAATTTTACAAGGAAAATAAGCAAATTAAGCAGTAATTGCGCATAACACTATGGTCATACCAGGAACCCTCCCAACATGCGACTCATAATTTTCACAGGTCAAAGATTTCTGTTGAAATGAAAGACTAATTTACATTCTTTCCACATTTCTTGTCAAATCATTAAATACGAATCTCTTTACTTTTCTCTGTAGAATAGTCTTGGAATCGGATCTAGTCATTTGCTCCAAGTTTCTATATAGATAAGCCTTTCTTCAATGTTCAGACAACCGGATTGTCCTTCCAGAACATCCTTTGTTTGATGGTGGAACGCAAAGCATAGCAGGATAATATGCTAGTGGAGGGCTCCAGATTCCACATCTTACTTTCCCTTCAAGGTATATTGTTTTTCAGTTATAAGTACGAGATATCATTATATTATATATAATATGGTTTAAATTAAATTTATTTATAATTTAAATAAAATCATAATTAAACTCAAAAATGCAAAATTTTATATATTTAATTTTTTTTAACCTAATTCGATTCGAGTCCATCAAATACACACCCGTAGTTGCAGTAGTCAAAAGAAGAAGCATATACCTGCCGAAAGATTAAAGTAAAAGGAATTTCAATTTTCAACATTACTATAAATTTAAAGGTTTGATGTATCAGTTAGTCCTTCAACTTGATAATCTTTTAAAGTGACATTTAATTTGTTTTAATTATTTTTATTAAAATGATGTTTAAACTTTATCAAGTTTTTATAATTTTTAGTATATTAATTCTTTAAATAATATTAAATATTTGAATCTTGATAATTGTAAATGTAATATATTGAATTCAAAAATCATCCTCTAATAAGTTTTTTACAAAACTCAATCAAAATTAATCAATGAATAGATGGGATAGAATAATAATTCAAAAATTATTTAATTTAAAAATTATCTTAAAAATAATTTAAAGGGAAAGAAATGAAGACTTGTGGATTAGGTCTCGAATTTAAACATGACCATCCTTCCCCTTTACAAATGAATTTTCTATAGATAAAAAGTTTAAAATTCTTCAGGGAAAACCGAGGTCTTAGACAAAGAAACGGCGCCGTATGGTCTGCCGTAAAAACAATTGACTAGGACGACTTTTTGTCAAAAGATAAACTGCTTAACAAATATCAGCCATCGGATTCAAGAGAGAGAGAGAGAGTTAACGGTGGGGAACAGAAAGAGGGGTCAACCTCCTCCCCCCTCATAAATCGCTCTATAAACTCTATTTCCTATCATCGTGGATTGATATTTCATTTTCTTTCTGATTTCAAACAACACTCAAATACAAAAACAGAACCTTACCCCCCCAAACTGCCACCGTATAAGCATGAGCAGCTCATCCGCTTCCTCTCGCAAGGTTCCGTTCCTCCTTCGCCTTACTCACACTCCTTTTATTCTTTTTCAATTTGGGTATTGTTTTGTTTTGTTTTAATGTGTATATGGTTTTTTCTTTGTCTGGTTTTGTTTAGGCACTTAGTAAGATTGCTTGCAATCGCCTGCAAAAAGAGCTGGTAGAGTGGCAGGTCAACCCTCTCTCCGGTTTCAAGCACAAAGCCACTGATAATCTTCAAAGGTTTTAGATCGTTTATCCTTTTTCATTTTCTCTAGTTTAGTTCCTTAGAAAAAAATTGATACTTTTTTTTTGTTGTTGTAAAAAAAGGTGGGTAATTGAAGTCAATGGAGCTGCGGGAACTTTGTACGCCAATGAAACCTATCAGCTTCAGGTGGATTTCCCTGAACATTACCCTATGGAAGCCCCTCAGGTTTGATTTTTATTCTAAACCCCTTTTTTAGTATTCTTTTCTTTTGAATTCCTTTTAATGATTTGCTGTTTCGGGTTATTGTTTGCAGGTGATATTCCTTCAACCAGCACCTATCCATCCACATATTTATAGCAATGGCCATATTTGTTTAGGTATGAATTTATATTAGTTTGCTATAATTATGCTCTGTTTTTAGCCATTTTTGTTTGCTCTTGTAGATTTTTATCTTTTTTATAAATATATATGCATTGCAGTAGACATGTCATGATCTGATTCTCACTTTGCTTTCATTTTAAATTTTTATCCATTTATCCTTTGAAAATGATGGGATTTCTGGGATCCTGTCGTTACCTTTAAAAATGTTTACATTGTTAATAGAATTGTTGATGCTCATGTGAGATTATGTTAGCTAATATTTGAATACTATTTTATCATTTTTCTACCATCCTATCCTTTTCACCAAAAAATATATAATGTATGGAAAATAAAGGGTAGAAGTTCAATTTCCAACTATCCAAATGTTCCTTACAACTGGTAACTGACAACGGTCAATAGCTTCGTCTCTATTACTGTACAGTGATGGAATAAAGGGAGGAAATAATGTTAAAGAAGGTTGCTTTAAGTTGTATAGATGTATTGTGTGTATAACTATAGGGAAAAGAAACTTAAAGATGGTTGCTTTGAGGGGTGTAGATATTCCTTCCTCTGAGAAGGAGCTTTGCAGGATATAAACAGAAATTAGTTTTCTTTTATGGGGAGTTCTTTATATTGTGCTGTTTGAGAATTATGCTCTATCATTTTCTTCTCCTTGGTCATGGATGTGGGGTGTTGCTATTGTCATTTACAGTAACGGGTGGTTTTAGGTTATCTGTGCTGCATTCTCTTGAAGCACATAGCTCCATTCACAAGGTCTTGGCTTGATTTTTATTTCTTTTTGTCCTTCATTCAAATGGACAAGGTGGGGATAAAATAGCTCTTTGGAAATGAGCGAAGGATAACGTTTTTTATACACTTGCTGTGCCTTTCCAACATATGTTTGCCAAATTCAAAGCATAGTTGGTTTTGTTATTGCAGCAAATATTTAAAATTCTGATGCTCTCTCACTCTTGCACAAGCACATGTATCATTCTTGCTCAAGTTCCACATGTATGTGCTATCTTAATTGCTTAGATTTTGACGAGAGGGGTATAAACATTTTTGTTCTGTTTTATTTTTGTAGACATCTTATATGATTCATGGTCCCCGGCCATGACTGTTAGTTCTATCTGTATCAGCATTCTCTCCATGCTATCAAGCGCAACTGCAAAGGTTTGGTTACACATTCAATTTTGATTTTCTGAGTGCCTTGTTCCACACAATACTTATGGCATTCTTGTTGAGCATCCCTTAGCCATGCATAAAGCAAACTGCCAATTTTTTATTTGGGGCTAAACTTTTCCAAACTGGGATGGGTACACTATTGCTCTTGTAAATCATGAGCATATCCTAAACGACACCAGATTATATCATGAGGCATCCCACAAACCTTTTAATACTATTATTAATCATGTCTCGCAGCAATGTCCTGAAGACAACGATCGCTATGTAAAGAACTGTAGAAATGGTCGATCTCCGAAGCAGACCAGGTGGTGGTTCCATGATGAAAAAGTTTAATTGGCATCGGTGTCTTCCTGCATCAACTAGTTTTAATAATTATAGATTAGACAGACAGATTCCACTTTTAAGGAAAATCAAAACAAAAGGAGAACGCATTTTTCGAATCAAAAGTAAATGCTCGTTAACTCCTGTAAATGATTATATGCTACTGGTATTTCGTAAGAGGAAGAGAAGAAGTTAAGACTTTCATTAGGGACTTGTAAGGAACAAAGCTCTCTCAACGAATGGTGTTTAACCCATATGAGAGATTCTTGGTGCATTGGAAGTACTAAGCAAATGAATGGGAAACCATATCTTTCTAAAAAAAAACTCATGAATTTCAAGTTTATGAGCCTTTGTTTCATACATACACTCACAAGAATACATACACGCAAGCTTGTATCATTGTCCTTTGTCTAATGTTCTTTCGAAATGAAAAAAGAGTGGAACTTTGTAATGAAGATTCAATCTTTAACCAGTACCATGAGTGTTTATTAGCAATTAAAAAAAGATTTTGGCTTGACACGGAAAAAGTATAGGGAAAGTTCAATGTTCCAGTATTGAGAAAAAGCAAAAGAAATTGAAAGCTAAGATTTTACTAAACAGGGTATATCCGAATTTGTTTTGTATTCCTTCAGTAGTTCTTAGGAAAATTCTGAGAGATGCATACTCCACAATGAAAGGTCAACTCTCTTCTGCATAACTACTGGGAAATTAGCTCAGTGTTTCAGACCAAGATCTTCAGATCATGAGGTTTGTCGTAATCGGTTTTCGTCCGGACACGAATTTTTTTACTTGGCGGGAAAAGTGATGTGAATAAATGGTTTTTAAAATAATTTGGGAGTCGCCATCGGCCTTTTGGGTCAGATAGGTCGAATACCTAAAAATCATCTTTTAAAAGAGTTTTTAAGAAAACATCAATTAAAAGATAAACTGATCTGCGTTTTAACCAAAAATTCGTTCTTTTTAATAATAAAAAGGGATTCGTGGTCGGTTACGTTTAGGGAAGGATTAGCACCCCTACAACGCCCAAAATTGGTACTTTTTAATTATAAATTGTCTCTATCATTATAAATTTAAAAATTCAAATATATATTTAACTTATAATATTTTTTTATTTCAAATTTATGATTTTATGAAAATATATTAATATATTAATATAAATAAGATATTTATTTATTTAGAAATATCAGAAAAGGGCTTCTAGGTGCTTTAAGACAGCTCTTTTCTTTGATATAAAAATAAATAAAACATTTATTAAAAGTTAATATAGGATTTATAAAAATAGGATATTTAGTAAAAATATCAGAAAACGGACTTCTAGGTGTTTTAAGACAGTCCTTTTCTTAATATTGAAAAATAAATATATATTAAAATATAATTATTAAAAGTAATTTATGAAATATAGGATTTTAATAGAAAACAAATAGAATAAATAAACAAATATTTATATAAATAATAAAAATAATAATAATGAAATAATAATTAAAGCAATAATAATAATAAAATAATATTGCAAATAATGATTAAAATAAAATGAATTAAAAATATAGTATTAAAATGTAAAATATTAAAAATAAATAGTCAAAAATGAAAATTTAATGATTAAAATGTAAAATTATAAAACTAGAGTCCTAATTCGAAATATATAAAAGATGGGCATTAAAAGTGTAATTTAACCATAATTCATAATAAGAGATTAAAATAATAATTACTAAACTATGAGGGACTAAATTTGATATTTACCCTAAATATATATATATGCTGATAAGGACTAAATTAAAATAAAATAAAATTAGAAGACTAAACTAAAATAATCAGAAATCAATTTCAGTGACTAAATTGTAATAATTACAAACTTGGAGCATTGCGGACAAGGTTTACCCTCTTCCCAAAACGCACTGTTTCATCATGAAACGGCGTCGTTTTATATCGGGTATAAATACCCTAAACGGCTGGCCCGAAGGGTCAGCATCCTCATTTCTTCTCTTCTTCTTCTCTCTCTAGCTGAGAGAAAAAATATTTTCTCTACCTTCTCTCTAAAACCCTCCATCGGAGGGAGTCCAATTCCGGCCGGCAGCCGTACTCCGACGCCGACACCACCGCCGACCACTGTACATGGTGGTCGGAATTCTGGAAAAATGGCCTAAATCGAAGCTCTATTTCCCCAAAGCCCAAATCTAACCTATTTTTCATCTAAAACTCTTCCACTAAACATAAATCTAAAAAAAAATCGAAGGGTTCTACCTTCGATTAAACGACGGTTCAACGACGTTTGGCTTCCGTTTGCAGAATAGGCTTCAAAGGTAAGTTTCTTTCTTCTCTTTTCTTCCGTTATTTCCGAATGATCTCTTGTTGGTGTTGCTGTCCCCTTTGCTCTTGGGTTCTTCGTTTATGTTTTTCTTCCCCCTCCTCTGTGTTTGTCTCTCTATTTCGTTTTGCAGGATCCTGTGGCTTTTATAGCCACCACGGAGCCATGCTCGAACCAGTCCAGAGGGGGAAGTTCGGTGAGTCACTAAGCTATGTGGTGACTCACCCCATAGCCGCGACGTGTGGGGGGCAGCTGGATCTTCTAGAGCGTTCTGTTGAAGCGGTGCCAGCAACTTCCTGAGGCGGCGGGGTGGCAACAGTAAGGGAAGCAACGACGTGGCCCTAGGGTGATGATATCCTAGGGTTTCCTCTGGCATATCTGGGACCGTTGTATCAAGGCCAGATCCAACGGTTGAGAAGAAAGGCGGTCGAGAGATGATGCTGAAACCCTAAGAGGGTTTAGGGTTTGTTATTAAGTTTGGGCCAGTCTGGTTTGTAATCGGGCTTATGGTTTTGGGCCTACAATGTATTAATAAATTATTTAATAAATATAATATAACATAATAATAATAATAATAATAATAAATAATATAAGCAAATGAGAGAGAAAAAAAAAACTAGTGTCTTCAGCTGCCCCTCTTTACTCATTCTTGTGTTAACGAGAATAGAGCAAAGATGAAAAGACAATAAGTTTTTTTTTATTTGACTTCACTTGGAAATGTTGAACAAGTTTTTCTTTGGGATTAGTTCTTCTTATTATGAACTTTTCCACTGGGGATGATAATTTATCTTCTTTTGTGATGTAATCTAGCAAAAAGTTGAACAAATTTTTCTCCTTCTTCAGATGTGTTCTTTTCATTATGAACTTCTTCTGGAAATGCTGATGATGATATATCTCCTTCTATGATAGAGTCATGCAAAAGGTCGAACAAGCTCTTCTTATTATGAACTTCTTCTTCCTTCTTCAGATAAGTTCTTCTCATTATGAACTTTCTCTGGAAAAGTTAATCCATCAAGTGATGAGTTTAAACAAAAGGTTGAACAAATTCTTCTCATTATGAACTTCTTCTTCCTTCTTCAGATGAGTTCTTCTCATTATGAACTCGACCCGGAAATGCTGATGAATTCAAGCAAAAAGTTGAACAAGTTCTTCTCATTATGAACTTCTTCTGGAAATGCTGATGAATTTAAGCAAAACGTTGAACAAGTTCTTCTCATTATGAACTTCTTCTTCCTTCTTCAGATGAGTTCTTCTCATTATGAACTTTCTCTGGAAAAGTTGATCCATCAAGTGATGAATTTAAACAAAAGGTTAAACAAGTTCTTCTCATTATGAACTTCTTTTTCCTTCTTCAGATGAGTTCTTCTCATTATGAACTCTAACTGGCACTGCTGATTCACCGAATGATGAATTCAAACGAAAGGTTAAACAAGTTCTTCTTATTATGAACTTCTTCTTCCTTCTTCAGATGAGTTCTTCTCATTATGAACTCTTCTGGAAAAGTTGATCCATCGAGTAATGGATTTGAGCAAAAGGTTGAACAAGCTCTTCTCATTATGAACTTCTTCTTCCTTCTTCAGATAAGTTCTTCTCATTATGAGCTTTCTGGTAATACTGATCCATCGAGTGATGAATTCGAGCAAAAGGTTGAACAAGTTCTTCTCATTATGAACTTCTTTTTCATTCTTCAGATGAGTTCTTCTCATTATGAATTCTTCTGGAAATGCTGATGACCCGAAGGTTTTGAAAACATCAAAAAGCTCCCAAAGGCTTTTTGGAAACATCATGCACTGTAGGACTTACAGATGACCCTAAGGCTTTGAAAACATCAAAAAGCTCCCGAAGGCTTTTTTGGAAACATCATGCACTGCAGGACTTACAGATAACCCTAAGGTTTTGAAAACATCAAAAAGCTCTTGAAGGATTTTTGGAAACATCATGCACTGTAGGACTTATAGATGACCCTAAGGCTTTGAAAACATCAAAAAGCTCCCGAAGGCTTTTTTGGAAACATCATGCACTGCAGGACTTACAGATGTGGGAAATAGTTTACTAAGTAAAAAACTAAGGAAATTGTTTTCTTACTTTTCAATAATTTCATTTTTAGAAAAGATTGAATGAGAAACTATGGAAATCATTTTCTCATTATTTTTCAAAATAACATGTTGATTGGGTAACATGCCCTAATCTTAAGATAAGGCTGTTTTTGTGGATTACGTCCATCTATTCTTCAGATGTTGGAGTGATTCCTGTATTCGAGGTTTTGGATTCTACCTTCTTCTTGTAAGGTATTGTTCATCATGAATCTTCTTTTTTCATATGAAGATCTGCAAAACCTTATGTTTGAATACAATCATATGTATCAATGTAATGCATTGTCTATTGTGTAAATGATATTCTTATGAATGCATGAATATTGATGCAATCTTCATTTGACTTCAAAGTGGTGAACTAGGTCTTCCTTCACTTCATCATTTATTTCCAGGGTCACCTCTGGATATCAGTGTAACAACTCATGTTATCAAGCTTGCATTTCTGCAAAATCATCTGATCAACTTGTATCTTTGTGTCTTCTTTGCTTCATTTAAGTCTCAGAAGAAATGTTCTATTTGTGGAACTCTTGCCGTAGTCAGAACTATGAATTTGATGCCCCATTTTGTCTTTGGTAACACCAGCTTTCTTTGTCTGGACTTGTGTAGAAATCCAATAAAGCTTTCATCTTTGAAAAGATAATCTATCATCTTTAAAAAGAGAATCTATCATCTTTTAAAAGATAATCTATCATCTTTTAAGAGTGTAGATGTAGATATGCCTGACTCAGTAGGGATTAATTAGGAGAGTAGAGTCTGTTCTAATTTAACTCTTGAAACACATCACAAGGAAGATTTATTCCAATTCCTTCCATGTCTCCACATATAATCAGATCTCGAATAAGGCAACTTGGACCATATCTTGTCAAGATACTTAACAACAACCTGTCGTTCAACCTTAGTTGGTGCCACTAGTTTCTTGTTTAAAATTTCAGTTCTCCTTCTGTGGAAAGAAATCTTCATCATATATCATTTCTAATCTTGGGGTTGAAGAAGACAAAATTTATCTTGGATCAATAAAGGAAAACCATATGATAACAACATTGGTTTAGCATCGGAATAACTGGTTTGTAAAACATTTGACAACACATTCATCATTTCCTGTGGTTTCTACTCAGATGTAAAACATTTGACAACACATTCATCCTTTCCTGTGGTTTCTACTCAGATGTAAAACATTTGGCAACACATTTATCCTTTCCTGTGGTTTCTGCTCGAATTACTGGTCAATGAAGCTCTTTGCATGGTGTTCAAAGTTTTTGTATGATGTCACAAAACCACTTGAGAACAAAACTCAATGGGAATACAAGTGAAATACTGGTATGACCAAAAAGTTGGTCAAATTCACAAAATATGTTGGTGTCGAATTGAATAGGAGACACTAATTGATCTTGATATCATCTCGGGCAAGGGCAAGTGTAATACTGATCACGTTTTCTTCTTTAATGAGCATTGTAGAAAGTAGAAATACTTCAGCTATAGGATCCATGTACATAAAGATATCCGTGGAATTCTTGCTGCTGGGAATGAAACGCACCCAAAATAGATAAAAATTCAGTTCAGTCTGGCTGGCAATGATAACCCCAGTAACATCGGGAAAGAGCAATATACATGAGCTTCTCTCTTCAATGTCATCAAGTTAAACAAAACTGATGTGAAAAACATCTTCGTAACCTCAACAGTATGGTTGAAACTAACTGACAGGAATCTCAAAGAAATATTTTCAATTATCACTGACACACAAAAGGCCAAATTCAGAGTTCGAGATCTCGAGGAACTGATCCTTGGATTGAATGGTCTACAAGGGGACCATCTTTATTCATGCAACCGTGATGTATCTTAACAAAGAACACACTGTCATGTGACACATGGTTTAAGAAGATTGGGTATTTGAAACCATACGTGCTTGAATAAATATTTGTTCAACAACAGGACCCTAATGCAACTGCCTGATGAACGAAGCAATTATGTGTAGTCAGATTGATTGTTATTGTTTTACCATTTTCATTCTTCATATCTTTCTGTATCATTGGAAATATCTGCTCAAGTCAATGATTTTTAACACATGATGATGTGGGCCTTCAGCATGCCCCAACATTTGCTAATACAAATATTCAAAAATGCATCAACAATCCTAATTCTGATTGAAATGGGCTTTCAGCCTGCCCTATCATTTGCTTCTTGCTGATCTGAGCCTTCAAAATGCCCCAACATTTACTGATACAGATGTTAAAAGTGTGTTCACATTATTTCTTGTTGAGATGAGCCTCCAAGAATGCCCCATTTTCATATTGCTGTGAGCCTTCAAAATGCCCCAATATTCTATTTCTGGTTGAAAATGGGCCCTTAAGATGTCCCTCTAGATCTGTCTGAATTGGGCTTTCGAGATGCCTCAATATTCTGCTTCTGATTCACTCTCAATGTATGTTTGACTGGAATATCATGATCCTCATGAGGTCCAATTTTGACCATGCACTGTTATGGGTACTTGTGGCTTTATTCATGCCCCAAATCTGTTTATCTTGAATACTCTCATTCTGGTGTTACTTAACAGTAGTGTTGTCAAGTAACTGGAGGAATTCTCTTCATGTTGTCACAAACTTAAGAAGTACTCAATCATTCTGACAAAAACGTCTGAGATATGTGTCTTTTGAATGAGGTGACCATTTTCTGTATATGGAGGGATTTAGTCAGACAGAGCAATATAAACAGCTTGGTAATCCGTTCTAGGCTGACACAGTGGCTTATCATCTTTCAGTGAAGGCCATTTCTGAAATATACCTTACTGTGTGAGAGAAACCAATTTATGCGAACAGTAATCTGATGAAATAGCAAGACTACATATACAATGGTACATGCTCATCAAAAATCCACACCCATGCAACATGTTGATTCTGATAGCAATTCATCTGATTATGAAGCGATCTTTCAGGATGATTTCACAGATATTGATAGTTCTTTCTGATACCGAGGAAATCCTGAATTCTTATTCTGATGAGGAGAATAAACTGTTATACTTGACAAAAATAGGATATTAAGAGGTTGAGGCTTCAATAGCCATGGAGAGATGTGGTCCGAATTCATCAATTACAAAGTTGACAAATTTTATATATGCTGCTCAAATGGTTAAGGCTGTTGATGCACTTCTTTAAGTAGAAGATAGGAAGCATTATGCAATGATCCTAATTACAAAAAAAGGCTAAACTCGAGCTATGATTTTTGGGAAAGGAATAAGAAGAAGAATCTTGAAAAGAAGCTTCTTAATGAAGACGATCATGCAGGTCATCTTTCAATTCCAATAATTGGTTCTGGGGTTCCTACCGAACCAAATCAGATAACTCAAAGAACACTTCCAAAAGATGCTATTGGGTCTCCTTATTTCTACTATGAGCAAATTTATCTTTCAAATCCAATGATTGGTTTTGGGGTTCATACCAAATCAGATCAGATAACTCAAAGAACACTTCCAGAAGATGCTATTGGGTCTCCTTATTTCTACTACGAGAACGTGGCACTTGCTCCAGTTAATGTTTGGACTGGAATATCACAATACTTATTCGATGTAGAGCCAGAATTTGTAGATTCGAAGCATTTTCATGCTGCTACACTGAAAAGGGGCTATATTCATAATCTGTCAATTGAGAACAAATTTCCTATTATCTTGTTTTCTCCACGCACTATACATGATATTTTTCCATTGACAAAATGGTGGCCTTCCTGGGATCCACGAACAAGGTTGAACTATTTACAAACATGTACAGGAAGTGCCAAATTGATAGAAAGGATCCGTAAGGCTCTTGAAGCTTATGACGATGAGTCACCTTCAAGTGTCCAGAAGTATGTTCTTGATGAGTGCTGAAAATGGAATCTGGTATGGGTTGGAAGGAATAAAATTATTCCACTTGAACCTGATGAGGTGGAAATGCTTCTAGGTTTCCCTAAAAACCATACATGAGGAGCTGTTAGAGACATGTTCTCCGGTGATATCAATTTCCTGTCTTTTTTTTCTTCTGGGATCAGTAATGCCGAGGTCGCCTTCTACTGTCTTGGTATATCTTTGAAAACAGATGTGCAAGAACTGAATGATGATCAGTTGGAGTAATTGATGAGTAGATTTATCGAATTCGACCTTGTTGTCGGTGGCATCCAGCGTAACAACCTTACTGGAAGAAATAAACATCATCAGGATGAACTATAAGTTTTTGTTGGTGCATTTTCTTGTAATGACTGCTACGACAACTGTCTCTTCTGCTGCTCTAATATATCATGGAATGGTTTAGTTGACAGTAAAACTGGTCATCTTCAACTTTTGGAATCCTGTAACCAATGTTACCCTATATAAAAGGCCTATAATGGTAGATTCTGTTCCAATGTCTTATTCTGTGCCATAAGTCCTCAAATTCAAATTCAGAAATCTTCTGAAGGACATAATGGATATCATCTTGACAAAGAAAATGATCGGCATAGAAGAAGTAGCAATGATGTATCAAGACTTGAGCCAGCATCACGGTATAACCAGAGTGCAGGTAGTGACTTGTTCATGGCTCTATGATGTAATCTTCTAGAGAACATGAATTGATGGTTGGGGAAAATAATCTGTCTGGTGATGCTTATCGCCCTCAACATGAGATAAACAATAATCTTTCTTGATGAGCTGCTAATAATGTCATAGGAGAGTGTCATAAGTTCAATTCTCCAGACTTTCTGGCTTCTTGGACCACTTGCCTTCAAAAATGTGAAGTGCTTCATCATTCTGGCCTCGTTCATTCTTTTTCTACAACAGAGGTAGAATAAGCAATAATTGCTTCAAGGACCTTCTTCATTTGAGACTGTCCTGTTTGAAAATGTTTTTTCTCATTTCTTTATTGATGAATGAAAGAATTTTGCAAAGTAATGCCCTTCTCAGGTTCACAATAGAATCAAATCATAAACAATGAGTTTAATGAATATCATATAAATCAACTACTTTTAAATCATTCAAAAATCATAGTCCTATGGCAAGTGTCAAAATTATTGACTGATTTAAGGTGTAGGTGGATTCTGGTAAAGTAGGTTTCTCAAGTTCTTTTAAGTTGGTTCAGTATGTCGCTTCGGGCTTCCACTAACTTGAAGAAATGGTTGTTATGCTCATCTTGTAAAGATGCTTCTCGTTTCCAGACTCTCATGAACGTCTTTGGGATGTGTGGTGCTTCATTAAGATCATCTCTTATGTCATTGTTGCACCATTCATTATTCGAGCCGCCTTTTCAGGTTTTCAACTCGAATCCCCCTTTGGTTCTAAGATGTTATTTAAAAATTTACATCTTGAACTCCCCTTTTATCATTTTTCATATCATGCATTAAAGATTTTAAAAACCAATTTTTGTAAATAAAAATCAATCTTGAGAGGCGGAATGAATTCTAAAAATATTCTCTTTTACTTAGAAATCCATGTATGATTAAAATGGACTTTTCAGGTACGTAACGTAGGCCATGGCTTATGGTTACGAAAGAAAGGGATAAAAAGGCCCAAATAAGTGTTTAAGGGTAATCAAACCAATGATCAATTTATTATGATGCCTTCACCTTGCCTTGCTTAAATTGGATATGCTTTGTTGGGGATTTTTCCATTATTTGGATCCCTCTAGACTGCCAAATTTTGGATTCATTTCCATTTTCTCATATCTCCAGCATTTCTTGCTTTTCTTGTTCGTACTTGATCAACCTAGTAACTTGAGGCTCAATAAGTCACCCATCTTGATTCAATTTTCCTTTTTCTTCTTCTTTTTTTTTTTTGCTTTTTTTTTTGCTTTTCAATTTTTCTTTTTTCCTTCTTCTTTCTTTGCTGGATAAGTGTAATACTTCAATTGCTTTGAGCACCTTCTTTTCCTTTTGCATTTTGGAGGTTTTCCATTATTCTTGATTGGATTAATCTTCAAGCTGTAACACCCCCAACCCGTATCCGACCCGGATACGAGTCCAAAGTGTCACATTGACTTTTCAAACATTTATTCGTATAAAATAATGAGTAATTTAAAAACTTTGATAACATTTAACTTATTCAAAACGTTTACAAAATATATCAGAGTTCATACAATTTATATCTTTAGACTACATGCCAACTACACTATATAAACAGTACATATATTTTCTGATCTGACATTTGGTAAGGAGAACTGACCTGTCTTGCTCCGCATTACTCTTTAATCTTCTCGAAACCTACGTATGAAACAATCACACGCTAAGTCGAAGACTTAGTGAGACATAAAAACTTATAATGCACTTTATAACATATATCAATACATGCATGTTCTGTTCTATCATGTTATACCAAATTACATGCTTTCTATGTATCATATAAAATCATATCAGATTAATTACAGTAAATACATACATACACATAACTCATCATTAACAGTTCATCATGTAATCACATACTTTTATGCTTAGCCTTTTCAATCAAACACTATACACACACAACATCATATCATTTCTATAACATTTATCATATCACTAACATATATTTGTTTATATCTCTTGATTAGCCCATGTACATATGTGAGAACTATAGATATGTGAGTTTATGGAGGTTGTGCACTAATGTTGTCACCACAGATCATATAAATGCACCGAAGTGCCACATATAATTGCACCGTAGTGCCGCGTAGAATTGCACCGTAGTGCCATATAATAATGTCCATAAGGACCACATATCATTCCTTAAGAATCATATACATATACTAGGGATCAAGTATGCATCTCACCAGACTTCACACATGTTCCAAAGAATACATATATGTCCCGAAGGACCACAATGTCCCGAAAGACCACATATCATTCCTTAAGAATCATATACATATGCTAGGGATCAAGTATGTGTCTCACCAGACTTCACACATGTTCCAAAGAATACATATATGTCCCGAAGGACCACATAGACCCTCGACTCTTGGCATGCCAACTATACCCCTAGCTCTCATGACACATAACATGGGCATTGTCATTTAACAATTCACATTACTTGTCATTTCTCTTCTGTCACATACCATATGTATGTGTAATCATGTATTCCATATCATATCACATGTTCATATAAGCTCATAACTTCTTTTACATATACATGTAATCACTTAGTCTATTTTCATGTAATTCTTTTTACTTCTCATATGATTTTATATTCATATCTCACATATTTAATATAGTCACTTGGCTTATTTCATTTCACATTGGGCATGTCTCATAGCATATATCACACATGCATATAATCATGTAACATATATAATAACCTATATCCATTTCATGTATCCATGCACATATCAAAATCCTAAATCAAATAACATTGTATTATTACATACTTTGTTCCATAGCCATATATTTACATATCTTATACTTACCTAGTTTACTTTGTTTCACACATAGTTACATAATCACGTAATATACTTACGCATATATCATTTTCATACCTAAATCATATAACACCCAATTCTTCCTCATAAAGTTATATATTATATTCATATAATATCATATTATCCTATAAGTAAATACTTATCTTATGGTTTGGTATCATCATTTATACTCAATTCCCTTCACTAATATATTATTCTCATATTACTCTATAGTCTAATCTTTTTTAACTCATCACCTTTCTCATGTAGTCATATAAATCTATTATATAAATTCTTATAATTGATCACTTATACTATTAACATGTATGGCCACTTATCATATAACCTATTTCACATTCCCATGCAATCATATAGACCATTCATATTAATTCCTATACTTATCACAATACATGTATTCACACAATCATTTAACACATATTGTAATATATATCACATATACCCAAATCAAACATATGCCTATGATCATAAATTAATGCATTATAATATAGGAAATAGACTCGTCGCAAGTCTTATTTCCATTAAACATCATAAACTAACTTGTATGCACTCACCTGGCCTCACTAGTCCATTCCAATCTCTTATCTTCCCTTTTATCGATCTTACTTGTCAATGATTCCGAAACTCGTTTAGGCTCTGAATCTACATAATTATACATTTTAAGACAATTATTAGATACCTACACCTTGTAATTTGATACTAGCAACTTAAACGAACTTATTAAACCAATATTTACAATTTTCCTTTAGGGGGAATCGGTTCCCTCCTGTGGGGGTATCGGTTCCCCCATGACATTCTGGAAATTTTATTCGCTTGAAGGGGTATCGGTTCCCCTTGAATGGGTACCGATTACCCTAGCCCAGAATTACATTTTTGAATTCGAAAATCCCTTCATTTTCAGCTCCATACCTCATACTTCACTTCCATTAATATTCCTAACTTTCATACACATAATTAAACTCGTTTCTACTCCATAATCACTTCCTTAAACTCAAAATCCTATCTTTTACATGATATTCAAGAATCATACTCAAATACCAACATGTTCTAACTTTAATTCTATCACCTTATACTTCTTAATTAGCTTGATAACAAGTCAAATCCAACTTCAAATTCTTATTATGACCTCTAATCCAATATTTCATTCAATGGCTTCTAACCTTTAATCTCCCTTAACTTACAATTCTTTGAGTTTCTACAACTCTTTTTCCTTCTATAATCTATCTTAAGGCTTCCATAATTAAAACCATGCTTGAATTTGAAGGATTAATCAAGAGAAATTAAACTCACCTTAGCTTGGGCTCTTCACGTTGAAGAAGAAAGAAGAATCAAGAGTTATCTGGAAACTCTTGTTTCTTTCACTTGGATATTATAATACCCATTAACTATTATTTAATTATTACCTTTGCTCAATGACCCTTTTACCCTTTTAGTTCTCATTCACTTACTAATTCATCCTACCCAACATCTTTAATTAATTCCTTCACTTTTCGATTAATTGAATTTGATCACTGACATTTTAAAATCTTACACTTTAATCACTAACCCGGTATGGAGGATGTTACAAATCTCCCCTCCTTATAAGAAAATTCGTCCTCGAATTTTCAATGCACATCTTAATAAGAACATATCTTCTAATGTTCTTATGTTGCTTCCCTGACTTATTCTTTCTTGTCATCATCAGAAACTTACTTTTCAATCCTTTAGTTTTCCAACTATCTTTTTCGTTTATACATTCATCTTCTGTTTCTTATCATATAAACAATAACCAGTAATACCAATCCATTGTTGTCTTTTCTCTCGTTCGATTATGCATTTTTCTTTGACCTTTCTAAAATTCCATATAATGTCACTCATCACGTTGACAGTAACATCCATCTCATCACTCTATATCATGAATCCATCTATTTCTTCATAACTCTTTAATTACCTTATAACCATACCAACTTGTATTTCGTCATCATTTGACCAAAACACAACTTTAAATCTTCTTCAATTGTGATTAAACATATACTTTAAGGAGTCAAACAATATTTTCACATCACCTTGCACACTTTTCGTGTTTTTATATCGAACTTATCATTTACACTTCCATACAAATCCTCACTTCATTCACTATATCACGTTTATGTAATCAAAATATACAACTATATCTAATACAATTTCATCACAAAATCTTGTTAGTCAACGCTAACTCTTTCATTCTAAAGTACAAATCCTTATCATCTCCACACTCTTTCTTATACACAATACTATCCCTTTGTTTCAGATTCATAACTCTGATTTCATTCATATAATGTTACTTATCCTGTAGACAGTAACATCAATTCTTATCACTAAAAATAAAAAATCAATCAATTCATTTCTTTCCTCATTTTCTAATTAATTCACCACAATCCAAACTTTTACTCATTCTTTCATCATTGTCTGTATTACGATACACATAATCTCTTCATATAACCTTACATACTTTTCTTACTTCTAATCAAACTTATAATTTGCACTTCCTTATAACCCTTTATCATATTTACTCATTTAAACACCATCTTTTCATTTCTTTATCCATTTATCCTTTTATTATCAAAATCTTCTTATATACAAATCATATATTTCCTTCCATGTTCACATACTCTTGTCTTATCACTTATTCTTATCTCTGTGTAACCATCTTCATTGCATCCTCATAACTTTGATATCCCTATTTCTTCTACCGATCTTTATTCTTTATCATCTCTTGTATTTGTATTTTCTTCTTTAAAGCCACTTTTTAAAACATACCAATGCTTATCTCTTTGCCTACATCATATCGGTATGATCAAGATACATAACCACATCCAGATTCATATCATATTTGATTAACTCCACTTTATCTTTCCTCCAATCTTATAACTCTAGCACATTTACTCTGACAGCTAGATAATAACTTTTGTTCAATCTAGGGCACAATCCCTATTATACCAATCATATACATCATTTCCAATCTAAATTATCTCAAAATTCGCTTACTCAACTTATCAATTTCACTTCTATTCTCATACATCCTGAAATTTCTTTTGCTCAAACTCAACATTCTGACTTCCTGTGTCCTATAATCTGATCATCGATATACACATTCTCAAACTCTTCTTATCAATCCTCAGTTTTACTTAAATATACAAATTCTTACTTCATTTTCCTTTACTATACCACATTACTATGATCCAAATATGCAACTGTATCCAGATCCATTGCAGATTTGGTTATCATATCCTGACAATATCTTATAATCTTATAATTCCAGTACATTTTTATCACATACTCTAGTTAGCCAATGCTAACTCTTTCCATCTTAACTGCAAACCCTTATCATAAACATACTCTTGTTTATGCGCAATACTATCACTTCGTTTCAAACTCATAAGCTCTGACTTTATACATCTTATACACTTGTCACGGATGCACTTATCCTTGAGTTCTTCTATACGTACTCACCACGTCATTAGATCTTTTTAACATTCTTATGGTGACACCTGTTCACCATATTCTATCTTATCCACATAATAACAAAACTACTCTATATCGTGTTTCCGATTCAAAACAATGAAAACTTTCTATCATTATTCAGATATGATTTCAGCTTTCTGAAATCAACTTTTGATATTACTAGGCATTTCCTGAGGTGTCCGCTCTTCATCCTACCTGGCCAGGGCAGGTGAATAGCTATCACAATCAGGAATATCACCTTTCACTTACTTCGAAATTATCACGATCGGATTTCTACTGTATTAAACTATTCTTATTCTATTAGCAAGACAACATATTCCTTACACTATCAGATCAGAAATTTTTCAATCTATGTTGGCATGTACACCTTTTATGACACTTTGGACTTCGGTTTATGCCGAGAATCGGCTAAACCTTAGCTCTGATACCATTAAATGTAACACCCCAACCCGTATCCGACCCGAATACGAGTTCGAAGTGTCACATTGACTTTTCAAACATTTATTCGTATAAAATAATGAGTAATTTAAAAACTTTGATAACATTTAGCTTATTCAAAACGTTTACAAAATATATCAGAGTTCATACAATTTATATCTTTAGACTACATGCCAACTACACTCTATAAACAGTACATATATTTTCTGATCTGACATTTGGTAAGGAGAACTGACCTGTCTTACTCCGCATTACTCTTTACTCTTCTCGAAACCTACGTGTGAAACAATCACACGCTAAGTCGAAGACTTAGTGAGGCATAAAAACTTATAATGCACTTTATAATATATATCAATACATGCATGTTCTGTTCTATCATGTTATACCAAATTACATGCTTTCTTTGTATCATATAAAATCATATCAGATTAATTACAGTAAATACATACATACATACACATAACTCATCATTAACAGTTCATCATGTAATCACATACTTTTATGCTTAGCCTTTTCAATCAAACACTATACACACACAACATCATATCATTTCTATAACATTTATCATATCACTAACATATATTTGTTTATATCTCTTGATTAGCCCATGTACATATGTGAGAACTATAGATATGTGAGTTTATGGAGGTTGTGCACTAATGCTGTCACCACAGCTCATATAAATGCACCGAAGTGCCACATAAAATTGCACCGTAGTGCCGCGTAGAATTGCACCGTAGTGCCATATAATAATGTCCATAAGGACCACATATCATTCCTTAAGAATTATATACATATACTAGGGATCAAGTATGCGTCTCACCAGACTTCACACATGTTCCAAAGAATACATATATGTCCCGAAGGACCACATATCATTCCTTAAGAATCATATACATATGCTAGGGATCAAGTATGTGTCTCACCAGACTTCACACATGTTCCAAAGAATACATATATGTCCCGAAGGACCACATAGACCCTCGACTCTTGGCATGCCAACTATACCCCTAGCTCTCATGACATATAACATGGGCATTGTCATTTAACAGTTCACATTACTTGTCATTTCTCTTCTGTCACATACCATATGTATGTGTAATCATGTATTCCATATCATATCACATGTTCATATAAGCTCATAGCTTCTTTTACATATACATGTAATCACTTAGTCTATTTTCATGTAATTCTTTTTACTTCTCATATGATTTTATATTCATATCTCACATATTTAATATAGTCACTTGGCTTATTTCATTTCACATTGGGCATGTCTCATAGCATATATCACACATGCATATAATCATGTAACATATATAATAACCTATATCCATTTCATGTATCCATACACATATCAAAATCATAAATCAAATAACATTGTATTATTACATACTTTGTTCCATAGCCATATATTTACATATCTTATACTTACCTAGTTTACTTTATTTCACACATAGTCACATAATCACGTAATATACTTACGCATAGATCATTTTCATACCTAAATCATATAACACCCAATTCTTCCTCATAAAGTTATATATTATATTCATATAATATCATATTATCCTATAAGTAAATACTTATCTTATGGTTTGGTATCATCATTTATACTCAATTCCCTTCACTAATATATTATTCTCATATTACTCTATAGTCTAATCTTATTTAACTCATCACCTTTCTCATGTAGTCATATACATCTATTATATAAATTCTTATAATTGATCACTTATACTATTAACATGTATGGCCACTTATCATATAACCTATTTCACATTCCCATGCAATCATATAGACCATTCATATTAATTCCTATACTTATCACAATACATGTATTCACACAATCATTTAACACATATTGTAATATATATCACATATACCCAAATCAAACATATGCCTATGATCATAAATTAATGCATTATAATATAGGAAATAGACTCGTCGCAAGTCTTATTTCCATTAAACATCATAAACTAACTTGTATGCACTCACCTGGCCTCACTAGTCCATTCTAATCTCTTATC